TCCAGGATGGAGAAGATGCCCATGGGCTGGAAGGTACCACAAGTAGTGACAGAGAAAGATGATAATGATGTGAAGCATGTGCTATGAACATCAAAGGTACCAGTGTGTTGCTGGTAGCATCTCAGCCTGGATAAGGGCCTAAGTTTGTCAGGAGCTGTTCTCAGCCAGGGAGCTTATTTCTGCCTGTCCTTACCTTCCTGCAGACTGCCTTCACAGAACTGGTAAGAACGTCTGTCTGGCTCAGGTTAGAATTGGGAGCAGAATTAGAGGGAGAAGTGGTTAAGGAAAAAATAATGGGGAAAATAGCTACAAGAGGCCCAGTTGTTTTGGGAAATCAGGTGAGATGATATTTATTTCCCAAATTTGTGTGTGGAGTTCTGATTGAGTCTTCAGGGGGAAAAGGAAAGGAGACTGACTCCAGCTGGTTTTGAAGAAGTCTGTTGGTGGGAGTCGAGGCTACCTTTTCCAGGCTTGAAGAGCAGGTAATGCAGGACTGAAGACACAGATTTGCATTTCCTAATTTCTCTTCCCCAGACTAAAATAAATCTCAGTGCAAAATATTTCATTTAACTGACACTGAATGCCTGGCCCTGAGTTCTTCCTGAGATGAATCTGGCCCAGAAACATCAGAGAATTCCAGAATACATCGTACACTTGTATGGAAAAGGTACCTTCTCAATGAGCTCGATGCAAGCCGCCAGGTCCATCCCAAAGTCAATGAACTCCCATTCAATCCCTTCCTTCTTGTACTCTTCCTGCTCCAGCACGAACATGTGGTGGTTGAAGAACTGTTGCAGTTTCTCGTTGGTGAAGTTGATGCACAGCTGCTCAAAGCTGTTGAACTGTCCAAAGCAAGGAGAGGTGCACAGGTTCTCAAGGTGTGGCAAACACCACAGGTTTTTGCTAGCATTCGCCTAATGCTGTTGAAGTTCCCCAGCTGAAACACCACTCCTAACCCTACTGTAACAGCATGTGTTTCCTTAGCAGGGCTTCTATTGCAAAATTTGCTGTTCTTGAAAGATTTTATTGTTATTACTTTTGAAATCAAGCTAAAAGTAGCATTTCTTTTTTACTGTGCTACTCAGAAGCAAATCCTTCAGTAACCTTAGCTGCAGCATCGTGAACTTTCCCATAGCACTACCCTTTCCTTGGCTCTTCCAAGAGCATCCACACCTTTGGCCCACATCTGTGTGAGCCTTAGTCCTCGAGCTGTCTCTTTGTTGGCAAAGCCTAAGACTTTTGCAAGCTCAAGGGTCTCTGAGACCATTAGCCGGAAAGCAGAGCTTTCTTCTACCTGTTGACAAGGCTAGAATCAAAGTGGTTGTGGTTAGTAAAGCCATTTGAGGGTGTTACTGTGACAGAGAGGAGGGAGGGGTTTCTAGAAACTGCAGGTAAGGAGGATAAACTTCTGAATCTTCTTAAAAAGAAGGGTGTTTCTGAGTCCTCATGACCCCTCCCTGGCCCTCCCTTGACAATGGTGCTAAATCCTTGCTCCTTACATCAAAGATCTCAAAGCCAGCAATGTCCAGGACACCAATGAAGTACTGTCTGGGTTGCTTGGTGTCCAGCTGTTGGTTGATGCGAATAACCATCCACAAGAACATCTTCTCATAGACAGCTTTTGCCAGGGCACCAACTGCATTGTTCACCTAAAGCAGAGAAGAAAGGACCGGAGTTACCTCCTAGGGTCAAAAAAGAATGCTCAAGTACTGAAAAAGTACTTTCAAACTATCTCCTATTTACCTGTTCTACAGTTTGACCTTTGGTCACGAATTCGTTCCCAACCTTGACTCGGGGGTAACACAGGGCTTTGAGCAATTCAGCTGAGTTCAGGCCCATCAGGTAGGCAGCCTTGTCAGCCACTAAAGAGCAGGAGAGAGAGAGAGAGAGAGAAGCATTTATCTTTGGACAATGGCTAGAATTTGGTCAGTGTGAAAAACTCTGCTGTTCCTGTTCTAGAAATGGAAAAGCATTGGACTGGTCTCATACAGAACGTCTGGGAAGGAATGTAAATTCTGGAAGCTAATGATGGCCCCCTTTGAAAGCAAGAGCAGGTATGGCTTGGATAGGAATAGCTTGAATCTGGAAGGTCCTAGAAGAACCGCAAAAACCCTCTGGCAATACGTGAGGCATGCATGCAGCACATTCTTTTTCTGTGGAAAGCTGATTCCTGCATAGCAAAGAATGCAGGATTTATTTCACTAAAAATATGATTGCACATCATGGTGACTTAGTGGCTGAAGGTTTTACAGAGAGAGAGGTAGCCTGCGTTGAGGTTGAAGTTCCCTCTCTCAGGCTGTGTGTGTTTGGGGAGTATCCATTGGATAAAGTAATGGTATTCCCCATGATCAGGGAAGCACCTCTGCAGTTAGATAGGCAATGAACAAAGATGTTTTTCCTCGGTGTTTTATGTGGTGACTCAGGCCAACAAAGGCCTGTGCTTGGAGGCCAACATATCACCTCTGCAAACAGAGAAGTTCTTTGAACAAGTCAGTTGCTGACTGTGCTGATACCTTCTGTGCCATCGGGCTCTGCCTGCTCCTCTCGTTGCTTCTGTTTGAACTTCAAGTTCCCGTAGTGCATGACAGCCCCTGTCAGCTTGTAGATGGCAGTCTTTTCATCAGCAGTGAAGCCCAGGATGTCAATGGCACTCTGCAGTCAAAACAATGAAGTAAAATACGTGTCCTTAGTAGGTCACCTTTGAGACATGTACAGTAGGTACCTTTTTGCTGTGTTACTTACATCTGTAGCCATGAGCCTGGTCATCAATACTAGACTGGGAACAGTGACCTCACCTTGACTCACATAGTGGAAATCAAAAGGGTTGGTGGTAATGAGGAGCATGTCTGAAAGCAGGAAGAGGCAAGGCACAGGCTTAGTTTAGCCAGCCGGGTAATAGCGGGAACTGTTGCTCAGCAATCTTCCTCAAAAAGTCACAATGATCCTTCCTACCAATCAGCTCCGGCTTCTTGTTGGACATGATCTGATAAAATATGTGGTAACTTCTTTCTGCCTTGAGCTGGAAAGTGACTCTGGACTTCTCCAGCAGATCTGGCAAGGAAGGTAGAAAGAGTGAGGCACAGGAATGCACAAGGAGGTGAGAATTTAGGAAGGAATGGGATGAGGTCAGGAGAGTCTCTTACAGGTTTCAATGTCAGCAGAAGCCAGTTTGCCTGTGGCCCCAAAGTGGATTCTGATGAATTTGCCCTGTTAAGGAGAAGCAGCAGCATTTCAGCCTGGATGGGTTCTTTTGATGTCTCCTTTACGTGGAATACTGCTAGGGCCATCACTTTTCTTATAATGAGAGGGAGAGATTTTGTCCAAAGCAACAACTTACAAAGCGTGAGGAGTTGTCGTTCCTCACAGTCTTGGCGTTTCCAAAGGCCTCCAGCAGTGGGTTGGCGCTGATGATTTGATCCTCAAGCGTTCCCTGCAGGACAATAATTATGGCAGGTTATCCTTTCCAAAACTCTTGTCAGGAGCAGAGAAAATCATTGATTCAAACTACTATCTATTAATTAATGATTTCATCCTCAAGCATTCCCTACAGGATGATAATTATTCAGTTACAGCGTTTAGCTGACATGGCAATTGCACATCGAACCTTCAGTCTGTTCTTCCTGACTCACCTGCATTTTGCCAGGCTGCTCCTCCTTCTTCTTCTCCCCACTCGCTGCAATTGTTGCAAAGTACTGGATGACACGCTTTGTGTTCACAGTCTTCCCTGCACCGGATTCTCCGCTGTCAAACCAAAGAGAGAGGCAGAGAGCGTGTGGTCAGGCAGGGAGGGCCCTGGCACCCGACAGCCCCACAGGGACCTGAGTAGGGAGGGTACATACGTGATCAGGATTGACTGGTTCTCGCGATCTGTGAAAGAGGCAGAAACAAGATGGTGTTAGTAGCTTTCTTGAATGATATAGAACACAATGTGTGTGATAAATACAAGCAGTGTTTTTAGAGAGCCTATGTATTATATGGAGAGAGCTGGAGTTATCAAAGTTTGGATTTCTTCGATGTTTTTTTCACCTCTGAGATATTCATTTAAACTCCCTTTTTGAACATTGAAATAGGACATTTCTTCTTAATTCAACCTATTTCTCATATCAATCTCTCTATGAAATGAATAGTGATGCAAGCATGCCTGTTACTTTCCAGTGACTTCAAGAAGTCTGGAGGTTTATCTTCCTCCGAGAAGTCTGTTAGAAGTGTTGGAGAAGGGCTGGAAGGTTTGGGTATGAAAGAACTCCCTGTAGAATCCACAGAGATTAATATCAAATTTCTTGTGTGCCTTTTTAATGTCCCAGGAAGTATAAGTAACTGCTTATACACCAGTGAGTCCTCAACCAATTTAAAAATCTGAGATCGCTTTATACCTGTTTCCATTTAACAAAATACCCTTTGAGAAGTCTGATTAATTAGGTCTCATCTCTAAGTAGCAAGGGGTTGTAGCCACTAACTGTACAGGTCAAAAGAATCCTGATCTCCTCCTTACCTAACTCATTTGTAGAAGTGTAGAGATTTAATCAATGTTGGAAATGTTTAAACTAGATTCTTTTTTTTTCTCCTTTCCTTATTTTTCCTTTTCATCAGTGAATCCAAAGGAGCAAATACTTTCTGAGGTAGGAAAGAATATAAGTTTATTATTTTGGTTTTTTTCTTTGTTTGTTTGTTTCAGATTGTTTCTGCTCTTTTTCTGTTTATTTCTGTCTTTAGAAGTCTGTTTTTAAAGGCACTAACTAAGAGAAGGAAGACAGAAGATAACAAATGTGGAAAAAAATGCTAAACTACTTGTTATTCATGAACCTACTCCAGTGTTAAAAGTGGAAGTGGAAAAGGAGAAAAAAAATACGTTGAAATTATCATCCCATTTTTATTCAATATTTGGGGACTTTTTTAACAGTCAACATTCTTATTCTGTGATTTTCAGTAATGTCCTTGTGGAATCATGAAACAACTGTAGAGGTATGACCATCAAATCATTGATTCCCTTCTGCATATTGCAGGTTTGGTGCACAGAATTCTAGTCCTTTCTGGTCAAGTAACTTTCATGCCTAAGAAGCAATTCCATAGTACAGGAGTATTAACTAATAGCTAATTTGAAATGAAGGCATTTATCGTTGTTTCCAGAGGGTGCAACTTTTCTGGGATTCTGGCTCTTGTTCTTTCCCAAGAAGTTGTAAATATTGGAATAACACTTGAAATCAGATCATTTGTTTTTAAATCATGTCTTCATGAAGTCAAAACAGCTAGAAATTAACCTACAATACAGTTTGGGGAGAGATGAATTAAATTGTTCAGGGCTCTATTAATATTTTCTGTCACATTTTGAGCAAATGAGATCTCAATAATAGGTAGGGGAGAATTTTTGTTTCACCTGACTCAATTGATCCTATAAATTATTCTTCACTGTAACGTTTTCAGTGCTCTTCTCTGCATGGTATCAATTAGAGTTTTTAAAATCATTAGGACAGAACTGTGTCTCATGCATAGTATCAGCAACTGTTAAAATAAGTTAATTAAAGGCTCATGCTGAGGTTTACACACGCAAATAATTTTTTTAAAAAAACGAATGCTATATTGCTATGAAGATGCTGCCATTGTCTCACCAGTTAGCATGAACTGATAGGCATTGTCAGAGATGGAGAAGATGTGTGGAGGGGCCTCCTGGCGCTTCTTGCCTCGGTAGGCCAACACCACCTCCGGGTTGTACACCGGCAGCCACTTGTAGGGGTTGACAGTGACACAGAAGAGACCCGAGTAGGTCTGCGAGGAAGGGAGACAGCACATTGGCTTCCACTTAGCCTGGCAGAGCAGTTCCACCTAGCCGCCCAAAGGAAGACTGCTGCTGGTACTTACGTAGATCATCCAGGCTGCATAACGCTCTTTGAGGTTGTACAGCACAGCGGGTTCATGGAGGTGGGTCATCATGGCCATGTCCTCAATTTTATCATACTTGGGAGGGTTCATGGAAAAGACCTGATCTTCCTTCACGGTCAGGGTCTGTCAGATGAAGAAAGAATGTATGTCAGCTGAGAGCTGAGACTGTGATCTACACACAGTTTTTAAGCCTTGGTTTTTACCCACCTCTCCAGCTTCAGTCTTGACAGTGACCTTCCCTGATTCTTTGCTCTGGATTGACCCTTTCACAAAGGATTCTTTAGGATGAGCCACAAAGACGGATGTCTTGGCATCAAAAGGCTTGTTCTGGGCCTCAATTCTCTCCTTCTCTGATTTTCGGAGGTAAGGAGCTGCTTCCCCAAAGGCAGCCATCTCAGCATCCGGAGAGGCCATGTCTGCACTTATACAGGATGCACAGTCAGCAGAGTGCTCTGTAGGAAAAAAGATATGTTGAGTCAGTAAGTGAACAGCTTTATGCGGAAGACAGGAAATCTCTTGCACTTTGATCTCTTCAAATATTTAAGTAGGTATACACAAGTCAAAAGTCAGATTTAAGCTTCCCAGTCTTGGCTGAAAATACTAGTATACTTTTCTGTAATTCATTCTTAGACATCTAGCTATGTGTAACAAAGTATAGAACATCTCTTCAGTGTTGCAGTATTGTAGTACAGTTTAGCAGTATTACTTCAACTTTGTAGATCCTAGTGACTTTGGACATTGCCATAGCACAGACTTTGTATTAAATAAGTCTCTGATTTTTCTTAATATGCTGTCTGATAGCAAATAGTAGCTTTTCACTGGAAAATTTACTTGCTATGGACAATTCATCTTGCATTATGACAGATATAAATGTCACTATTGCCTGTTCATCTTTCTAGAAATCTTAAACTGCTGTTTTTCTTCCTGTTGCTTAAAAGTTGGTAAATTTTAGTATTAATTCTGATGATAGAGGCTGGAAGTCAGTCACTGCTGTTTGAAAACATAGCAACTCATTTTGTGTTGCACAGATATCCAGAGTTAATACATAAGCTGAAGGAAAAAATGCTGCCTTCAAACCTAGAATAAAATCACTAGCAACAGAGACAGTGCCTGATAAAAATGGATATTCAAGGTTTATAGGAAGTTAAATGGAATAAATAGGTATATGCTTTGCCCAGAAGTTCACAGGAGCCATACACTTACCTTGAAGTTTTCTGTCAAGACTGGGCACAGCACTCCAAAGAGACTTTTATAGAGTCTGGTCTGCAGATGCTCTGGGTGTTTCCTTTTCCTTCAGTCAAAATATATTTTGGCAAACCATCTTTGGCAAAACATTGTCTGGCAAACTTAACTAATGGCATAATTAGCATTTGATTTGACTAGATATATTTAGAAATGGTTTACATCTTGCTATTCCTGTGGATGCATTTTCTATAAATAGTCTGACAGGGCTATTAGTAAGGGAATCTTGCCTAGTCAAGGCACTTAAAGAACTTGGATTTAGAATTTATAGGTTCCTCTACTGTATCTGCTGATAACTTGATCTTTGACCCAGGTGTGGTTCTTTGGCATTTCTGTACTGCAACTATTGCAGATGTAATATGGGGATAATACGATGTATCTTGTGCACATGGTCCTGTGAATTTAAGGATTGCCTTTCCAGCATTAGAAATGACAATTCTACAAAAGACAAATAATGACTATATGTCATTCAGTAATTCATGATAAGTTATATTGAAAAGGGGAAAACCAGACACATATTGTGGGCCACAACTTTGACTGCAATAGCACTAGAAACAGAGGGAATCCAAGGGACAACAAGTCAGAACACAAGTTCAAGTTTTGACACGTAATTTGTGCCTAGAGTGTGAAAGGTGACTCCTTAGCTATAAAAAGAAATAAATATCTACGCAAGCAAATCTGCATTTGGTATTTTGCAGAAATTGAAAAAAATGTGCATATTAGAGGAATGTTCGGTGTTGCTGTAGTCCGTCATAACTGATATTTAAAGTTTTACCTAGTCTTAAACAAACAAATTAATCATGGTACCTCATACCTGAAAAAAGAAAATCATACTGCTTTTTTTTCAAAACATTTCCGGTTTTAAAAGATTCAGTGCTTTTGTTACAGAGCTGATCTAGAAGAAATGTGTAACATTTAATGACTAGCACTTTTATTAATAGGGAAGTTATTCATAGCCAAAGTTCTTTCTGTTTCCTAACCTTTATTAGGTTAGATAATCTAAGGGTTAAGAGAGACAAACATGCAAAAGTAATCTAGATCAGGAAATACCTTCAACCCCAAATATATGCATACTCTATAAATATATGGTGAAACTGCCCATTTCCCCTCACACAAAAAAGAAGTGTTAACATGCCTTAAAGAGCTTAAGTCTCTATGTCCAATATGCATGTGTCCACTGTCAACATATACCAAGCAATGTCCTCAACCAGGAAGGAGGGGAGCTCCCTGTAGCCCTTCACTACCTACCACTCCAAAAAAACCCACCCCTCTACCCAAACACAACTCTACACACAATCACACACAGAGCATACAGTCCAAGATCCTCTGCCCTCTGATACATCCTCAGTCCAGCACTCCCATCCCATCACAAATATCCTGCACATTTACACACTCATACAGGTCCAGCAACAAAGGCTGTCAACACAGTGCTGCCTATATCAGAGCATTAGAGGTGGCAGGCAGCCCTATACAATGCTGATACTCTGAGAAAGGGGGAATTTGCCGGTAGTCCTGGAGAGTGACTGATCTAGGTCTAGGAAAAGGGCACTGTCACTTGAGCTGCTTTAAACACTGTCCGATCCAAACATGCTCTTCTCCTGGTCATTGGCATTTTGGTTATTAAAAGAGCTCACTGGATAAAGCTCAGTGAATAACACAGGGGCAAGGTCAGAAAAATGATGCCTGTGATCTAAGGTAATATCCAGCATCGGGCACTGGCCTGTGCATGAAGAGCTTGTTCCAAGGAGGGCTCTGGCACTGCAGCACCCACGTTTCTGGAGTTCAAACCCCGAGCTCACCCCTGGGCTCCCTGCACAGGGCATGGGGAAGCTGATGGAAACACGCTGTGTCCTGCCCAGGAGGAGCCCAGAAACAACCAGGGGGAAATGGTGGGCGCAGGGGTGCATCCAAAGTCCTGCCTCTCTGGGCAATCCCTGACTCCCATGGACATGCGGAACTTAGAGGGCAGAATCATAGAATCATAGAATGGTTTGGGTTGGAAGGGACCTTAAAAAATCACCTAGTGCAAGACCCCTGCTGTGGGCAGGGATATCTTTGACTAGATCGGGTTGCTCAAAGCTCCATCCAAGCTGGCCTTCAATGCTCCCAGGGAGGGGGCATCCACATCTTCTCTGGGCAACCTGTTCCAGTGTCTCACCACCTCCACAGTGAAGAAGTTCCTCCTAATATTGAATCTAAATCTACCCTCTTTCAGTTTAAAACCATTACCCCTCGTCCTATCACTATACTCCCTGACAAAGGGCCCCTCCCCATCTTTCCTGCACGCCCCCTTTCCCCCTTTAAGTGCTGGAAGGCTGCTATAAGGTCTCCCCGGTGCCTTCTCTTCTCTAGGCTAAACAACCCCAGCTCTCTCAGCCTGTCCTCACAGGGGAGGTGCTCCAGCCCCCTGATCATCTTCATGGCCCTCCTCTGGACCCACTCGAGCAGGTCCATGTCTTTCTTATGCTGGGGACCCCAGAGCTGAACACAGTGCTCGAGGCAGGGTCTCACGAGAGTGGAGTAGAGGGGAAGAATCCCCTCCCTCGACCTGCTAGTCACGCTTCTTTTGTGCAGCCCAGGAGGTAATTGGCTTTCTGGGCTGCTAGCACAGATTGTCAGCTCAGATTCAGGTTTTCATCCACCAGTACCCCCAAGTCCTTCTCCGCAGGGCTGCTCTCAATCCACTCTTGGCCCAGCCTGTATCCATGTTTGGGATTGCCCCGACCCAGGTGCAGGACCTTACCCTTGGCCTTGTTGAACTTCATGAGGTCTGCACGGGCTCACCTCTCCAGCCTGTCGAGGTCCCTCTGGATGGCATCCCGTCCCTCTAGAGTATCCACCATACCACTCAGCTTGGCGTCATCTGCAAACTTGCTGAGGGTGCACTCAGTCCCACTGTCCATGTCCCCGAAAACGGTGTTGAATGACACTGGTCCCAATACGGACCCCGGAGGCACCCCACTCATCGCTGGTCTCCTCCCAGACATCGAGCCATTGGCCGCAGGTCTTTGAGTGCAACCATCCAGCCAATTCCTTATCCATTGAGTGGCCCACCCGTCAAATCCATGTCTCTCCATTGTAGAGACAAGGATGTTGTGTGGGACAGTATTAAATGCTTTGCACAAGTCCAGGTAGATGATGTCAGTCGCCCTTCCCTTATCCGCCAATGCTGTAACCCCGTCGTAGAAGCCCACCAAATTTGTCAGGCACGATTTACCCTTAGCGAAGCCATGTTGGCTGTCACCAATCACCTCCCTGTTCTCCGTGTGCCTTAGCATAGTTTCCAGGAGGATCTGCTCCATGACCTTGCCAGGCACAGACGTGATACTGACTGGCCTGTAGTTCCCCACGTCTTCCTTCCTTCCCTTTTTAAAAATGAGGGTTATGTTTCCCCTTTTCCAGTCACTGGGAACCTCACCAGTCTGCCACGACTTTTCAAATATGGTGGAGAGTGTCTTAGCAACTTCATCTGCCAGTTCGCTCACGACCCTCGGATGCATCTCATCAGGTCCCATGGACTTGGGCACACTCAGGTTTCTTAGACGGTCTCGAAGCCCATCTTCTCCCATGGTGGGCGGTACTTCATTCTTCATTCAGTCCCTGCCTTTGGATTCTGTGAATTGGGCAGCGTGGCTAGAGCACTTGCCAGTGAAGACCGAGGCAAAGAAGCTGTTGCGTACCTCAGCCTTCCCCATGTCGCCTGTAGCCAGGTTTCCTGTGCCGCTCATCGGGGGGGGTACAGTTTCTTTCATCTTCCTTTGTCATCCTAGGTCCCTGAAGAAACCCTTCTTGTTACTTTTCACGTCCCTAGCCAAGTTCAGCTCCAGCTGTGCCTTGGCTTTCCTGATCCCTTCCCTGCACTCTCAGGCCATAGCCCTCTAATCTCCTCAGGATGTATATCCCTGCCTCCACTGCCTATGCATTTTGGGTTTGTGTTTTAGTTTGGCTAAGAGGTCTTGACTTAGCCAAGCCGGCCTCCTGCCTCGCCTGCCCGACTTCTTGCACATTGGGACTGAGAGCTCTTGCACCCCAAGAAAAATGTCTTTAAATATCTCCCAGCTCTCATTCGCTCCTTTATCTCTGAGGGCAGTTTCCCAAGGGATCCCACGCACTAGCGCCCTAAACAGACAAAAGTCTGCCTTTCTGATGTTTAGGGTCATGACTCGACTTTTTACCCATCCTGTACCCCTCAAGATTGAGAATTGTACAAGGGCATGATCGCTGCAGCCCAGGATACGTCCAGTCTAGACCACTCCGATAAGTTCTTCCGCATGAGTGAGCAACAGGTCCAGCAGTGCCTCTCCTCTGGTCGGGCTCTCCATCGCCTGTACTAGGAAGTTGTCCTCAACGTACTCCAGTAGTTTCCTGGACTGCCTGCAGTTTGCTGTGCTGCTTTTGCAGCAGGCGTCTGGGCGGTTGAGGTCCCCTATCAGGATCAGGGCCTGTGAGCGTGATGCTTCCTGCAGCTGAAGCAAAACTCTTCGTCCACCTCCTCTTCTTGATCAGGTGGCCTGTAGTTGACACCAGCCACAAAGTTTCCTTTGTTGGTTTGGTCTCTCATTTTCACCCATAAGCTCTCGACCTGCACATTGCTGTTTTTCAAAGGTAGCTCCGTGCAATCAATCCCATTTTGGACATAGAGGGCAACTCCCCCACCTCTCCTTCCTTGCCTGTCCCTTCTGAACAGTTTGTAGCCATCAATCACAGCACTCCAATTGTGCGATTCATCCCACCAAGTTTCTGTGATAGCAATCAGGTCATAGTTTTCCATCTGGGTGGCGGCTACCAGCTGCTGCTCTTTGTTTCTCATGCTGCGTGCACTGGTATAGAGGCACTTCAGCTGGGCTATGGGCCACATCCCCGTTTTAGGGGAGTTTGCCCTAATTCCCTTGAGGCAATTCACAGGTGTTTCCCTGTTGCTCCCTAATGCCTTGGCACCCCATTTGCACATTGAGCCTTTGACTGTAACTCCTTGGATGCGGCCATCCAGACAATTCCTTATCCATCTAACTGCGCATCCATCCAAACCATAACTCTCTGGTTTAGCGGCAAGAATGTTGTGGGGCACTGTATCGGAGGCCCTACAGAAGTCCAGGTAGATGGTATCGGTTGCTCTTCCCTTGTCCACTGATGCAGTCACTCCCTCATCGAAGGCCACTAGGTGAGTCAGGCACAATTTGCTCTTGGTGAAGCCATGTTGGCTGTCTCTTATCACCTCCCTGTGTCCCATGGACTTTGACATAACTTCCAGGAAGGTGTGTTCCGTGATCTTGCCAGTCACTGACATGAGGCTGACTGGTTGGTAGTTCCCAGGGTCCTCCTTATTACTCTGTTTAAACAATGAGAATAATTCCAAGCATGAAAATAGTTCCAAGAGAATTCCTGTATAAGTAATGTGAGCCTAACTGACTGTGGGCAGAGTCAAGGAAAGGTAATGAGCTGACTTCCATTGAGAAGCAGAAGGAAAAACATTCCAAGAGAAGACCACTGGTAGGTGAGAAGACGCCTAGGAGATCTGTAAAGGAGAACCCAGAAAACTGCAGACAGCAGCATCCAGAAAGGAGGATGCAGAAGGCTGCCTGTCTGCTCAGGGTGCAGAAGAACACAACGCACTGTCCCACCTAACCCTGCATGTGGCTGGAAGGTCTTGGAGGAGGTTTTCCTTTGACAGAACGTTTCTCTGGTCAAATGCTAGCAGCAGATACAAATCCACAGCATGAACGTATGCGCTGGCTACCTCTTGAAGAAGAAACTGCAGTTGCAACGGAGCTCTATTTGCAATTTCTGTGCTCAGCACGGAAGTTGGCCTCTGTCTATTAATAGCTCTGCATTGACACCTTATGCCCCAGGTACACGCAATGGAGGTTAACATAAAGCAGTTACAGATGTGCGGGCTGTGTTTGGTGGGATGGAGCAAAACACACCTTGAAAGGTGACTGCTATTAATCAAGTAATAATCAGGAGGATTAGCGAAAGGAAGCAAAATTCTCCAAACTATTGCATACAGAGGTTCAGTCTTCGCACTGAGAACACTTTGCAAATGAGTTCAGCTAAAAAACCACAAAATCTCTCCATTAAATGCTGATGTCCCCACCATTGTGTGACTCCTGCAAATGGCACCAGATGTGTCGTCTTATCCTTCTGTCAGTTGTCTTGTAGCGCAAAAATGGTACAAGCTCGGCAGGTCAGGCCCAGCAGTGGTGGTTACAGGGTTGAGCCTTACACTATTCCAGGCTCAGCTGTAAACATTTCACTGTAATACAAAGTAAACAGAAACAGCAATGAACACGGGAGAAGTCCCATTTCCAGTCATGCTACCCATTCGTCATGCCCGCCATTCATAACCATAAGCTGTTCTCGCAAATCCTGATTTAGGATCCTGCCGACTACGCCAGTTTGTCGCAAATGGGTGATTTAGAATGCTTAAGGAATCGCCGACAAAGGTATTAGCAAAAGTGGTTTTAATATGATGTTGTAAAAGTGTGACTTAACCAAGTTCGATGGCAAGGTTCACTCTATTAATTACTGCGTGGAAGAATCACACAAGGGAAAACTGAGTTGCACTCAAGTCAGAATGATTCGTAGAGAGACCAGAGATGCAAAGAGTAAGGAAGACCCTCCCGTTGAGTCACGGGTTCAGAGTCGGCCACCTTGCTTTCTAAACTCCTGATGGATCTTAGGTGCGGCTAGGTCCAATCTTAGTCTCACACCTGGTCGACGGTTTATGTCTAAGGGATTATACGTGCAGTTTAGATAATGTTTCATGAGCATCAATTTGGCATGCAATCAAAGTTGCCAAGACAAAATCAAAGTTACCGTACTACAAGGTTATGCACGATGTCGGTCGCTTACCAAAGATCTGTTGTTGGTAAAATGTCTCTCTGCCTCAAGGAGCAACCTTGAGAGGTGTCCCAGCTGAAAGGGAGATCACTGCCATGCAGCCACGCTGCCTAGCAGGGAGAACTCAAGGAAGGCTCACTTAGGCTGTTGTATTTATAGGATAAAGTGGTTGGCTTGTAGTCAGTTACATGCAATGGGAAAGGTATGCAGGAGACTCCTTGTACCC